AGGGCGGGCCAGCGGGGGGACAGGGAGGAGTGTTCCCGGCCGCTTGCTGCTGCAGCATCTAGCGGTCCTGCAGCTCCGGACGCGGGGGCTGGGGGGCTGGGGGTGTGGGAGGGGTGGGGGAGGAGGCAGGGTGCTTCGGGGGCTCCCTGCTGCTCTGCCTTCCTACCAAGACCTGGACTCGGAATCACATTTCTCGCACTCATCACCTCACAGGCATTAAAAAAAAAAAATCCTTATGTTAATTTCTCCTACTTCCTTTCATATTTCCCTCCAGTACTGTCTACTTTACAAAAATTGGTAACAGGAAGCATTCCACTTCTTTATACATGCTCCACAGTCATGCAGTTGTTTATCCATCCGTGGCTGCTGTAGCTCAGGGGATCGCTGTTACATAGGACGCGAGCATTTACGTGTCTACCTGGAGAACTGTACATGTTCAGCTGAAGAGATAACAGATTAACTTTCCATGGGCACCGTCGCTACCTTCGGCTCACCTGGCTGCAATTCTCTGAGCTCCTAAAGTTCTATTTGGGTGAGAGGAAAAAAAAAAAAAAAAAAAAGCCTACCCAGCTGCTGAGCATGCCCAGTTTTTCAAGCAAGATCCTTTTTAGAAATTGTGAAACCCAAAAGCGATGATCTTGGTACTGACTGTAGGAAAGAGGAAATGGGGAAGCGAAAGTAGATATGGGTGGGAACACAGAGGGACGTGTTTCAGAATACCTCCAGCAGTGCCTGGGAGCAGAAGGAGTTAAAAGAAACAAGGGAATGATTGTTCAGACAGTGTTACAGATACTAAGTGGGAAAGTCTCTACTGTTAATGACTCTCTAACTAGCTGTGTGACTAGCAAGTGCCCTCATCAGTGTAAGTCTTAGTTTTCTTGTCTGTACAATGATGGGGTTAAATTAGATGATCTCTTTAAGGTCCTTAAGGTGCTTTCCGGTGCTAACATCCCAGGATCTTTCCAAGATAGCTAAAGTTTTCATTGTATTAGAGTTAACCTGCTAGCAATCTCAGAGGATTTTGATCATCAAGCTTGTGACATCATTGGAGACATTCGTCATCATTATTATTTTTAAAGATACTATTTACTTGTCAACAGGAATGTGAAAGGGCAACACAGTGCTTTCCTTTCCCTGCCCAAGCAGGATGGAATTCTTTGAAAATCCTGCCTCTTATCTAGTCCTCATTCCCTTGTTCTTCTTCTACTCTCACTCCTTTTTTGACTTGGAGAACTCATTAAAACTTTGGAGAAGTGTAAATCTCAGTTTGAGGGGCATTTGTAACTCTAGATGTAGACATAAGCATGTGGTGGTCATTTGGTAGCACTTAAAGGCTTAGAAAATTAACTTTTAAAAACCCATATGTTTGCAGCTTCCACTGATCTCTTCCAAATTCCCACTGACTATCAGTCAAGAGTGTCATGACCTAGTGGCCAACCTGGGGTCACTCTTGGAAAGTGGTTTTTAAATTGAGGAGACTGAGATCCGATTCTAAAGCACTTTGCTGACACCAGGTGGCTCAGTTCCCTTGCCTTTAAGGATGATTGCACTCCACTCATTATAGAAAAATCTTCTGGCTACCAGAAAGATTTAAAAATGAGTATAAATGTGATAATGATTATAGGGTGGAACAGGTAAAAGTTGTGCTTAGATAATATTCAGACTCTCCCTCTGCAATTGGAAATTCTGCTTTTAAGATACTTGTATTTCAACTGTAATCTCCCCAATGATGAGAGTGGCTTCTTCTGCTTTGCGTATCTCTAAGACTAGCCCTATGAGGAAAGATTAGTAAATATTTGTAGATTTGATAACATTCATTAGTGATATTTAAAACGCCCATTTTCTTAGGAAGGGATGTTGCATCTTAGAATTACTATCTTGCTAGCACTTTTTTTTTTTTTGCTAAAATTTTGTATAATTATTTAGTAATTGAAAAAATATGACTTAGACTGATTTTGTGCTGGTTTAAGTCACTCTATAGTGAGGGATATATATAGGAACAAAATATTCACTGTTACACAAAAGAAAAGTAATCCAAATTAGTTTGTTAGCCTAAAGGAGTAAACAGACTGTACCATACATTATAGTGCATCCTAGTGGCCTTCAACAGCTTAGACATCATAATTTGCTACAAGGAAGTGTAGGTGAGAAGAAAATTTATTTTCCACATGTATAACATTACTTGCTTCTCTCTCTGTTTGCCTTCTTTTGCTAGTGCCTCAGTTACTAATTATTTGAATTATTTTGCTATTTTTAAAAAACATATTTCTGTGTCCTCAAAGTGAGAATGTTGAAAAAAACTAAAGAATGGCTATTTGAGAAGTTAAAATAAATAACGTTTTTGACAATTTTATATTATTTGGCCGTGATCAAATAAAAACTCAGAATACTGTATTTTTAAATTTCAAAACCACATCAATAGAATATAAATAGAAAGGTCCCAGTGAGGTTAAAACAATTTTCTATCTGAGTTATATCTGTATTTATAATAGATTTTTTTTTCTGCACAGTAGTACGGTAAGAAGAAATTACCTAATATGTAAACATGGAATCATTACTTTAAAAAAAAGTTTAGCCTGAGATCAAACATATTCCTTTAAAGGCTTTTCCTTTATTCTCCCCTATTCTCCATAGATTTGTCTGATGTGGTTGCATTGTGGGTTGACTCACCTGTTTATTATGATTTTAAAAAAGGCTGGCTTTGAAAATGATACCAGAAAGACAAAGTACCTCCAAGTCTTTTTATGGGACACTGGGCATTAGAAAATCTATCTAAAATCTGTGATTACCTCTTAAGGAAAGTTTTTCATGTCTACTCTTTGTAAAGGAATTAGCTTAGTTACCACCTCGTATTATAAATACGAAAGACTTGTCAAATCTCATTTAAGAATCAAATGATTACAAATTACTATGTAGTATACTATTTCCTTGAGGAGAAAAAGGATCAGAATTAAAAAGTGTGGCTAAAATCTTGAAGAGGAACAAAAAACCACATAACCCTTTTCCCATCAGTCCCATGAACCATTGTAAAATTGTTTATGCCTGGTTATGTGTGAGGTTTTGGATGTTGATAATAGAGTCAAGACTACTGAATATAATTATTCTAAGAACAAATGTAATCTTTTTTCTTTCTACAATTATGTATTTTTTGGCAAGATGACAGCATTATCTTAAGGTGTTTACCATTTGGTTTTCCAAGAAAAATGAATACTTTATGAGATCTGTTATATAATTAGTTTATATGGAAATTGAAGTTATATTCTATTGTACTTGAAAACTAGTTTTATTCTACATTCTAATCAGTTAATCAGTTCCTATTCTTTGAAAGACAAGAACATCTTAATATAAATCAGATACTTAAAGGAAATTAAGTTGCATGTCAGCCATAGTACACTTTTTAATTTGAATATAACATTTGATACAATTTAATTATACATTTGTAATTATATCCTGGTTGAAACTCTCTGAATATATCTTTTTCTACCAACTATGTTTCAGATTATATTTTCCTTTCTAACAGGAATACGTCACTAATGAGCATAGCAGTGAGTCTGATTTTCCTTTATTTCCCACCTCTATATTTGTCATTATGATGTCTATCCTATGTAGTCTGTGTCTTCCTGCTATATCTTATCTTCTCTCTGCCTTAGGTTCTCAATTAGGGACTTTCAAGCCACTTATAGACTGTTTAGTAGTGTATTGTTGCTGCAAGATCCTTGATAGCTCTAGTGTTCTACACGATCTCCTAAGAGTTTGAAAGAGCTCATTTGTCTTGCTAAGAATCTATGTTTCTGCCAAAGAGTGAATTAGGCTCTGGATAGAATAGAGTCCTCCATATCAGCAAATGGTCAGATTCTGTATTTTCCCTTGGCTTTGGGGGTATCACGTGTCCAAACAGGAACTTGTACAATAAATCAAGAAATGACTTAAGAGCAAGAGTCAGGCTGAATGGTACACATTTATACTGTTTGTAGAGCTTAAAATGGGGTGAAGGGGTGAGGGTGGAAAGCTATTGAGGAAGGCAGTTCCATAGAAAGTATGGCTGTACTTTTTCAGCAGAGTGTAAGGGGAAGAACTAGACAAAGGCAGTAGTCCAAAGTTTAGTGAGTACAGGAAAAAAGTGTGATGCAGAGGGAGTGTTAAGTTCTTTTTTGTTGTTGTTGTTTAAACTGTGGTGTATTGTGTATTAAGTGGAGAGTTTTTGATACTAGTTTACCTATTGATAAATAAAAATAATTCTAGGAAGTTATTGATAGCAAAATCTACTTGCATGCTAAACTTTTGCTACTTGGTTATCACATTTAATGAATTAGGAAGTCGTTTTCTCTGAACTATGCAATTTATTTTTAAAAATCGTGACAGGAAATATAGCATATTATGTAATCTATAAAGTCTTGAAACGACTGGATTGTCCTCAAGAAATAGGGTCCTGAAGTAGATTAGGACTCAGATGTGGATTAGGGCTCAAATGTGAGTTCAAGTATCAGTTCTATCAGTTACAAGCATCATATGTCCCTTAGGCAAGTCAATAAACCTTTCTGAGCCTCAGTTTCTTTATGTGTATAATGGGGATAATAATATCCTTCCTACCTATTTTAAGGGGTTGTGTTTTAGGACCAGATGAAAAAATATAAGTAGAAGCCCTTTATAAACTATAAAACACTTTTGTAGCTATATAAGTTTTGCTGATGCTGCTAGAAAAAGATTGATTTGATTTATTATAAACAAAACCAAAACAATTTATAGAATATGTTATAATTAGCTAATAGAATTATAGAGAACTAAGAACACCTCTATTATATATATTAATATATAGCTTATATTTATATAATTTATATATAGCTTCCATCTGTTGAATGCCTAACTGTATCAATCCTCTTGGTAGGGAGGCATTTCATCCATTTTACATGTGAGGAATTGGGGTTCAAAGAAGACAAGTGACTTGCCTACTCAGCCTAGCCAGTAAGTTACTGAACTAGAATTTAAACCCAGGTCAGTCTGGTTTAAGGTTTCACATCCTTAACATTATACCATGATGAACATTTTTTTTTTCCATTTTAATCTTTTTTTATCTGTAAAATAGGAGAATTATAATAATAAAACAATTACAGAGCACTTTTCAGTTTACAAAGGACTTCCACATACACCATTATATTTAGCAATATTAATCTACTAGTACTACTAGGAAGATTTTCATTAGTCATATGTTTATTAATAAATACAAATCATTATTTTGTTTATAAATTCAGGCATTCTGGAATTCATCAGTGTGGCAGTGGGACTGGTCAGTATCAGAGGTGTGGACAGTGGTCTTTACCTTGGAATGAATGACAAAGGAGAACTCTATGGATCAGTATGTATTATTTTTATTGTTATTGTAATTCTTGAAATAATGACTACCTATTTTGTAATTAAAATGTCTACCAATAATATCTATCAGAAGTAGTATATAAAATATATGTAGAAATTAGTAGTAGATAAAATATATTTATGTGGAAATCAGAAACCTGCTAAATTTCCATGTGTCTGGGCAATAATATAGTAACTCAGTCTCATTTTTTTTTTTTTTCCTTTTTGTCTTTTTTCGTGTCCGGCAACGGATCGCAACCCTCAGTGTCGCCCCCGTACCGGACCGGGACCGGCAATGGGATCACAACCCTTGGTGTTGTGCCCGCACCTCGCTCAGCCAGTGAGCGGGAACCGGTCTGTATGTGGGATCCGAACCCTCAGTGGGAGCGCCGCCGCGCTCTCAAGCGGTGCACTGTCCTGAGTTTTTCTAGTTTTTTCTAGTTTTTCCATATTTTGATCGTTCCCACCAAAGACAGAGAAAAATGAGAGCATTTTAAATTCTTTTCACTGTTATGTTAATTTAATGCAAATTTTCTCTACCCATTACCATCTTCCATAGCTAAATATGGAGTATAAATATATACATCACTTGCTAACCTTTGTATGTAGAAAATGAGTGAACAAAATGTTCAGATACTGCAAGAAACAACAGAAAATGACAACCACACTAGTTCTACTATGTTTATTGTCATGATAATTACAATGGCCATTGGATTAGTCAAAATTGTATTGGGCAATTTTTGACTTGCCACTAAGGATAAGTGCACATCTCTGGGTCTACAATAAATGGATAAGTATGGAGCAGAAAGTGTACTTTTCAGGTTAATATTTCATCAGTGTAAGGTTTTGTTTTGTTTTTTCTTTTTCCTTAGGACATTATAAAACTCATTCTGCAGCATAACATAGATTTTTCTTTTTAACTGTTAAGATTTTTTACTTGTTCACAGTTACTTATATAATTTTTAAAAAATTGGTAAGGAATAAATATGTGCCACTTTCTTACCCATCTTCTCATATAAAATACCTTCTTAAAGTCAAAGTTCTATAACTATTTCCATAGAGAATTTACTTTTTATGGTTTAGCAGATGGCAGTATCTGGTGTCTTATTTTTCTTAAAATCTTAGTTGAGACCACAATGCTGTACACAGCTAGAATCTTAATAGACATTGAGAAAATTGGTTATAATATTTCAGTAAGGAGACTAATATCTGTCCTCTGTAAGGGTAAAACTTGTCCCTTCCAGTCTTTCTATCAGCTCAGAACAAAGAAAAATAATGCAGGGTATAACAATAATAAGAGTTAAATTACAACAGAATTAATGGAATTATAATAGGAAAAAACATGCACATAATGTTCATGTATGTGTTGGATTAAAAAAGCAACTGTGGTTTATCCCTTAAGACAATATACAGTCCCATCTTGAAAAGACAAGAAATCATTGGGTTTTTACTACATTTACCTTAATAGTAACAGATCCAGATAAAAGTTAATCATAGGGAATGTATCATCAACAATTAATAAATTCATGAAGGGAAGATATATGATTTGGAAAGATGCCCTTGAATTCGAAATTTGGATCTTAGCAAGATCTTGAAATGTTCCAAGGTGATAGTAGAGACTTGATATGTAGAACTCTGGCATTTAATAATGGATCAAAATAAACTACAGGCTTGCCTTGTGTTGATGGTGGTAGGAAGGTGAGAATATGGAGCATGGGAAAATTCAGAATATGTATTAAGTATTTGCAAATAAAATTGGGAATTGACATTTGACTCAAAGTTCTTTGAACTAAACTGCTGGATGAAGTCACCTGGGAAGAATTTCAGATAACATATGAACTAGAACAAAATAAAGCAAAAACAATTTAACCAATTTTCCTCTTTGACAAGGTTATAGTTACAGGCAAAGAAATAAAAATGTAGAGTTGAGACTTTTGTAAGAAAATTATCTCAAAGTTTTTTTTTTAATGGTAGTTGTCTTCTCTCCTTTAGGAGAAACTGACTTCCGAATGCGTCTTTAGGGAGCAATTTGAAGAGAACTGGTATAATACCTATTCATCCAACATATATAAACATGGAGACACTGGCCGCAGATATTTTGTGGCACTTAACAAAGACGGAACTCCAAGAGATGGTGCCAGGTCCAAGAGACATCAGAAATTTACACATTTCTTACCTAGACCAGTGGATCCAGACAGAGTTCCAGAACTGTACAAGGACCTACTGATGTACACTTGAAGTGTGACGGTGTCTTTATGGAAGAACAAACCACAACCATTCTTTCTTACCACAGTTCTGTTGTAAAATAACAGCCCAGGAAGACATTCAGAATATTAGAGTCTATTTTCCACTGGGAGACTGAATTTGGAAAGAATACTGAAAGACAACAACAACAACAAAAATGTTGACTTGAAGTAGATCAAGATCACTTTTTATAAGTGGATCAAGTTCCCTTAGGTGCATTGGCTTAATCCTTAACAGTAGGTTGAAGCTGAAAATCTGTTAAAATGTGGATAATGGGAACCCCACCTAGTTTGCTGCTGGTGCCTCACCTCTCTGGATTATGTTTACTTTAAAAGTTACATTAATAATAGATACTTCATGTAGAAGAAGTGGACTGTCATAGTTGGCCAAGATTATTGCAACATACATTCTGAGGACCTTGTAGAGTTTTGCAGGTTATGGCATTATGTGTAAAAAAATCCCCAAAAACAAACCTGGGTGAAACATGGACTATAAAGCATGCCACAACAAGATGGAACATTTTTTAAAGAATGGACCTATTTATACATTTTCAATTTGCAAATATTTATTATATATATTTATTTATTAAAGAGTTTATTTTTTACTGGTATATGAAGATACAAAAAAGTAAAAACAGCAAAAGTTCCTTTATTGCGCCATTACTTTGTTGTGGTATCTTGAGCTGTAAAGAAGACATCACTATTACGACACATTAACCATACAAAAAGATCTTGAAATTTCTTTCTAAAAATATAGTGTAGATTATATTTTTATGCAGTCAATTGCCTTCTAAATGTAACGTTGGTTCCTTTTGACCTAGAAAAATGCTTCCTCAATTTGTATCGAATTCAACACACGTTCAAAAGGGAATTAAACATTTTTATTTTACGTTTTGGTTTTGTTGTTTTTCAGGTGAAAGTTCTACTTATATAACATATTTTTAAAACGACAAAATTCTAAGTACCCTCCACAAAGACTTTGGTATTTAGAGAACTTCTAGTGTTGAAAATGATCAAACATTATAGCCACCCTATGTTCTTGACTCAGTGTGGCAAAGATCATTTCTCTCATCCAGTATGATCATAGAAAGAATCAGTCTTTGTGGTACCACCATTAACAGTGGTAAGGCCCCATCTTCCTATCTGAGTCTGGTATCCTTTCCATTGTATCTCCTATTTAGTCATTTATTCAGCAAGTCTTCATTAAAGGCTACTATATACCAGACACTGTGCTAGGCACTAAAGAAAATGTGGTGATCAAGACAGAGGTGGGTCCTGCATCATGGAACTTAATGTCTGGTAGGAGAGAGAGAGAGAGAGAGAGAGAGAGAGAGAGAGAAACCAGGTAAACTAACAAATACCATAATTTTGAATTGTGATGTGTTTTATGAGGAAAGCATGGTTCAGACATAGAAAAAAAAAAGAAGTAATTTAGATAAAATGGGTTAGAGAAGGGTTTTCTAAGGAGGTGACATTTCTGATGGGCCTTAAATGATAAGAAGGAGTTGACCAGGTCAAGAGGAAGATAAGACCTTTCAGGAAGGAGAAACAGAGAGTCAGGGGTCCCTAAGGCAAAAACAAGCTTTGTGACTGTGGCTTAGAGAGCAATTGGGAGAGTGGCACAGATACGTTTCAAAAGCTGTGCAGATACAAATTCTGTAGATTCTTAAAGGCCCTTCTGAGGTTTTTTTAAAAAATTGATTATATATATTTGTGGAGTACAGAATTGAATATCAATATATGTATATAATAGGTGGTGAACAAACCAGAATAATTAGTATACTCATGTTTACAAAGCGTAATCAATATTTGTGACCCTTAACTAGTTTCTCACCAATCCCCCCCTTTCCCACCTCTAATAACCACAGTTCTATTCTTTCTTTTTTTTGAATGTTTAATGAATTATTGTGATTCTTTCTTTGCTTCTTTCCCCTTCTTTCCTTCCTTCCTTCCTTCCTTCCTCCCTCCCTCCCTCCCTCCCTCCCTCCCTCCCTCCCTCTTAGGAGTGACTATATGCAGTATTTCTCTTTCTGTGCCTGGCTTATTTCACTTAACATAATTTTCTCCAAGTTCATCCATGTTGCTGCAAATGGCAGAATTTCGTTCTTTTTTATGACAGAGTAGTATTCCATGGTGTATATATACCACATTTTCCTTACCCAGATGTCTGTTGATGGACATTAAAGTTGATTCCAACTCTTAGATATTCTAAATAGAGCTGCAATAAACATGGGAGTGCAGGTATTTCTTTGATGTGATTTCCATTCCTTTGGGTATATTCTATACCCAAAGAAATGTCATATGGTAGTTCTATCTGAAGTTGTCTGAGGAATCTCCATACTGTTTTCCATAATGGCTGCACCAACTTATAGTCCCACCAACAGTGTATAAGGGTTCCCCTTTCTCCATATCCTTACCAGCATTTGTTATTCTCTTTTTGATAATAGCCAGTCTAACTATCTCAGTGTAGTTTTGATTTGCATTTCCCTGACACTGAGTGATGTTAGCATTTTTTTCATGTGTCTGTTGTCCATTTGTATATCTTCATATGAGAAATGTCTAATCAGCTCCTTTGCCCATTTTTTAATTGGGTTACTTGTTTTCATACTGTTGAGTTGCTTCAGTTCTTTGTATATTCTGGATATTAATCCCTTGTCAGATGCATAGTTTGCAAATATTTTCTCCCATTCAGTAGGTTGTCTTTTTTGCTCTGTTAATGGTTTGTTTTGCTGTGCAGAAGCTTTTTAGTTTGATATAATCCCATTTGTTTATTTTTTCTTTTGTTGACTTGGAGTCATATTTGTAAAGTCTTTGACCAGTCCTATATCCTGAAGTGTTTCCCCTATGATGTTTTCTTGGAGGAGTTTTATAGTTTCAGGTCTTATATCTAAGTCTTTAATCCATTTTGAGTTGATTTTGGTATATTTTGAGAGGTACAGTTTCAGTTTCATTCTTCTGCATATGAATGTCCAGTTTTCCAGCACCATTTATTGAAGAGGCAGTCTTTTCCCCAATGTATATTCTTATTGTCTTTGTCAAAGATCAGTCAGCTATAAGTATGTGGGTTGATTTCTGGATTCTCTATTCTGTTCAAAATAAATAAATAAATAAAGCCAGAGGCATAACAATCCCTGACTTCAAACTATACTACAAAGCTATAGTAACTGAAACAGCATGGTACTGACCTTCTGAGGTTTTATTTGCTTCTGCCCAGCAGTTGTCAATGCCACCACACTTAGAAGTAGCAATCATTGTCAGGGGTGTGGTAATGATGATGGTAGCAGCTGCCACTCTTTACCAACCTGGAGGGCTGAGTGAAACATAGATTGTTGGGCTCTACCCCCAGAGTTTATGTTGTGTATAAGATCTGGAGTGGGGTCTGAAAATTTGTATTTCTAACAGATTACTGGTGATATTGACCACATTTTTAGAACCACTGGTCTAGAGCAGTGTTTCTCAAACTTTAATGTACTTATGAATTCACTTTGGAGATCCTATTAAAGGATGGATCAGTTAAACTATAGGTTTGGTGTGGGGGTCTGAGATATTGCATTTCTGACAATGTCCCAGCTGATGCTTGATGCTGCTAGACCTTAGGCCACACTTTGAATGGCAAGCCTTAATGCTATCTTAAGTATTCTTATAGTTCATCCTCTCATTACTTATAAATTAATGTTGATGTATGGGGTGAGGGGAAAGAGTTCAGCAAATGACTTTAATAAAGCTACATGTGAATGTGTGTGTATGTGAAAAGTTGTAAGTTCACTTGGGTATGTATGAGGGGTCCTCAAAAATTTCGTGGAAAGATTAGTATTATCTTTTAATTCCATTTTTCCACGAGCTTTTTGAAATACACTAATAAATGGGAGAGAGATCTGTTTCAGCTCAAAACCTCTTGGTTTTATGAGAATTAAAAAAAATGGTTTAGCTGTAGTTTTTTAATAATCAGAATAAACTAAGTCCTATTTTTAATTATAAACCAAAAATTAAAAACCTAGTTTGATTCAATGCTTGATATAATATTTAAAGTACACATCCTACAGTGATCATTAAGCAAGTATTTCAAGACTTTTTAAAAATAATGTGTCTAAACTTGTAACTATAAAGGAACAGTTTGGTCAAAGATGGCCCAAAATAAATATTGTTACCTAATCAAAATATTTATTTTTATTTTTTGAGGAATATGTCAGGAATATATATCTAACATTTTTTAGTATGATAGATATTTGTAGTGATTTGAGGTATAAAATGATTGAAGCATGGTTTTATAAACTTTCAGAAAGCTAGGAAGTCATTATATCTTGTAATCTTATTATATTTATCTATTGACATCCATTTCTATGTCAGAAAAAAATTTGTACCTGCTGAATTCAAACTGTTTAAAGAAATGATGTATTAGGTATCTGGAGAGATTTTACTTGATACTACTAAATGGATGTGGTGTGTGAGCACATTAATTCATATGTAGAGAGATAAGAATAATTTGGTTTATTATCAAATCAATATTTCTAAAATAATTTATTATAATCTCTGGCTGCTTGGGAGAAATTTCACTCATTAGGTATTCCTTTTGCTTCTTTATTTTTATCTTCTTTCAACTTTAAATGTTCTACTAGTAATCATATATTAACTTATATTTTCCATTCTTTCTTCCTTGGAGTATTAATTATCAATTGCTAAACCATCTACATTTTCTGCAATGTTGAGGGAAACCTAAACACATGGGAGTGGGGGGAACTCTTGGTGTGTCAATTACAAAATGTTTGGTTTTCAGGCGAGTGCAATGTCAAAACAAGTAAGGAACTTAAAGCTGTTGACCATTTGTGAGATTTCGGATCTATCATAAACTTAATATATAAAAGTAAGAAAGACACTCAGGCTATCACTTACATTTATAATATAGTTTATGAAAGTTTCCACTTTTGTGAACTAACTAATCATTAGACATATCTCAAGTGTACCTAAACTCTGACTTCAGTAGGTAAGTTGTTATGA